TAATTCAAAGCCAGGTGTGGTAGCACACACCTTTATTTGTAGGATTAGGAATTCAAAGTCATCTTTTGGCTACATAGCAAGTTCCAAAGCTACCTTGGCCTATATGACCCTGCTCCCTGCTTTAAAAGGGGGATGGGGGAGCTTGAGAGTACCAAGAGGACTGGACCTCTTCACCTTTACCCAGCATCCTCTCTGACTTCTCGAGCGTCTGCTTAATCCTAAAACCAAGCTCAAGCCACAGGTCCTCTGGCACCTGGGGCACCCCGGAGCTTCTGCAGACACCTCTATTCTTCCCCTACACCCTTCCCTCCTTCACAGCTCTTGACAGCCAGTCTGGTGTCTTTGCCATCTCCACCCCCAGCTCCCGGCATGTAGCACACCTGGCCGATCTGTTAAATCAGCAACCAAAGGGTGAAAATCAAAGGTTCATTGTAGCTGGAGTTATCTCCAGTCCTGCCCAGGGCCAGCAGCCATTCAAACTCAAATAAACACACAGACACTTATATTATTTAAACTGTTTGGCCTAATGGTTCAGGCTTCTTGCTAACAGTTCTTATATCTTAAATTAACTCATTTCTATAAGTCTGTACCTTGCCACGTGGCTCATGGCTTACCGGTCGGTATCTTACATGTTGCTTCTCATCGCGGCGTCTGGCAGCATCTCCCTACTCAGCCTTCCTGCCCCCAGAATTCTCTTCTCTGCTTGCCTGCCTATACTATACTTCCTGCCTGGCTATTGGCCAATCAGCATTTTATTTATCAATCAATCAGAGCGACACATTCACAGCATCCCCAGCAGTTCATAGTAAAAGGTGTGTTTCCCCGAAACTCACCCCAAAGTTCCAGGAAAGAAAACATAGATATCTACTGTATTGAAATGTCTGCCTTCACGTCCTCACACTAGCTCGTATGGAAGCAAACAGGTCAGTGTAACAGCAGAGAAACCTTGAATGCCAAGAACACAGGCTGACATGCCTGGTGGGAACCTAGAGACCAAATGTTCTTCCTAGAAATGTTTCCTCCTCTGCTCCCTCTTCGAGAACTCAGAATGCACTTTTTCACAAAGCCAGTTGTTGGAGGTTGTTATTACATTTCTAGGAACTATTCAGTTCGACTAAAGTTCTGTTAAATTAACTGTCTTAGCTGCTAGGTAGAGGCATACATATGGCCATTATAGTTTCAAAGTGTCTGGCCTTTGGTTTCTTAAACTTTAGTATATTATGAGCCTGATTAATGGAGAGCAGGTATGTTTGGGGAAATTCTGTGAATAGTGGTTGGGTACTTCCCTCACATGATAGCTGCGATTCTTCTAGAATGTGGAGCTGATTTTGTCACACCCCAGGCAGGTGTTCTGGAGAACTCTTTGTCTCCTACATAATAAATATCAAATTCTTTAAAGTAACAGGTATTTACCTGCCTTATCCAGGCAGGATACGGCACCTCCCCTACCTCACCTTGCCCCAACCATACACTTCAAATGCAAATTCTCCCAAGCTTTTAAACCAAGACTAGAGATTAGAGAACACACTGCTTGATTGAATCTCTTCTTTCAAAATCAAAAAGAGGGGTTGAGTAGATGGCTTTGTCAATAAAATGTTTGGTGTACAAGTATGAGACTCCAAATTCAAACCCCCAGCATCTGAGTAAAAGCCTGACTTGTATGAACATGCCTGTAACCCCAGGACTGGGAAGACACAGACAGATGGAGTCCTGGAGCCTGCTGGAGATCGCTGGATGACTGGTATCACCTAGTCAGTGAGAGACATCATCTCAAAAAATAAAGCAGGGAATGACTGAGGAAGACAGCTGGTATTGACCTCTGACCTCCGTGTATACAGACCTCTCTGTCTCTCTGTCTCTCTCTTTGTCTCTCTCTCTCACACACACACTCACACACACATGGGCACAAACACATCACACACACATACATACATACATACATACAAAATAATATCAAAATCAGATCAACGATAGAAAGGTCTGTGGCTTCTCTCTATGCACAATCACTAAATAGTGTGTTAGCAGGTATATGGTGGATTAAGGTGTGTTACTGATGGGTCTACTGATGTGTGTTACTGATGTGACGCACAACCACGTGCAAGTATCCCCATCCACCTCCCTCAGTTGGAACCCACAGCATCCTCAGCAGGCATTTGACAAGGTGACCACCAAGGCTGCTGTTTATAAAATTGCCGTTCATGGCTCCCATCGCCTCGTGTCGCCTGCACCACACTTCTGGAAGTGTAAGCACATCCACAGGAGATCCACTGTCCCTTTCATGTGAGTGCTGAAACACTCAATTTGTCAAGAGCTTTCAAAGGACCTTGCCTGTGGTTTCTCAGACCTCGGCTCTCACAAGACAGTCTTTCACCCAAGGCTTCATCAACTATCATTAATATACTCTCAAAGTATGTCCCTTCTTTTTGTTGTTCATAATTCAGGGCAAAGCCCAGGAGGCGCCAAGGTGGTGGGTTCTGCCCTCCAGGATATTGCAATAATGGAGTTGCTGATGCTTTAGCTGTTGGGTGTGTGTGTGTGTGTGTGTGTGTGTGTGTGTGTGTGTGTTTTCATGTGTGTGCCCGTGTACTTAGAGGCTGGAGGTCAGTGTTGGTTGTCACCCTGTCTCTTGTTAAGCCTGGAGCTCACTAATTAGGCGAGACTTGCTGGCCACCAAGCTCCAGTGATCCTGTCCCAGTCTTCCCAGTGCTGGGGTACCGGCACATGCCACCACATTCAGCTTATTCACATGGGTGCTGGGGACCCACACAGGTCCTCGTCCTTACACAGCAATCACTTTAGCACGCTGAGCCATCTCCTTAGTCTGCTGTTGGATATTTCTTGTCCCGCATAAGCAGGTCACGCTGACAGATTTTCAAAGCCCACGCGTGACTCTTGCTGTCTTCCCATTCCCATCTCCGGTCACCTTCCTCTCTCTCCAGCTGCCTTGAGCACATCACCATGATAGCCTTCGCAGTCCTGCCCTGACGTCTGTAGTAACAGCCACCGTTAAAAGCTTTTTATGGACCATCTGCTTTCAGGAAGGCTGCATGGGGTCGATTTAGATTTGGTTACAATTTAACTGTATTGCCAAATATGTTGGTGACCTTCAGTGAGTCTTTCAACACTTTCAGTTTCACCTTTTAGAGATTCCATTTCCTAACTTGAAAGAAAAGAAAAGAGAGAGAGAGAGAGAGAGAGAGAGAGAGAGAGAGAGAGAGAGAAG